TTTCTAAGTGATTTCTAAGTGATTTCTAAGTGATTTCTAAGTGATTTCTAAGTGATTTCTGAAACTAAATGTGATTAACATTCAAGCCTAAATTTTTTTTGCCATGCTGGACATATGTTTGAATAGAATACTCCAATCTAATGCCGTATCAACCTCCTCTAGAATTACCATCTTTGGGGGTTAGTTTTCCTTGTTACTATAGTTTCTGATCTTTCTTTTACAAAGTCTGGCTACTCTGATTGCACCTAATGGCGTTTGTGAACAGACTACCAGGCTCCCATAATTATAGGATCGTTACATTGTCAGGGCAGGGAACATTCTGCTTAGGAAATCCTTATTCTTATATAACTAAATAAATCTAATWCACAAGCAAACCAAATGCAGCAGCATTAAGTAAAGTTCTTGTTTTGTGGTCTACTGTCCTTTGCATATTGGCAAAACAGGCCAACAAACAGCGTCACTGGCTGTACAGCCAGGATGGCTGTCTGCTTACTATAAATAGATAATGTATAATAAGCCATGTAACTGAACTATTGCAAAGCACAGTAGAGCAACAGCACTCAGTCAGGCTAGCATATATTCAGCTTCATTCTGTTACCTGTGGTGGAATCAATACTGAATTTTCCGTGTTCATTCCCACTGACTATGGAGTATGTGATTTCAGCATTGGCTTCGATGTCCCTGCTCGCAGCATAGATCTGTAGAACCTCAGTCCCAACCAAAGTGTCCTCTGATACGCTGGCACTRTACTCCCTATGCTCAAACACAGGTGGATTGTCATTTATATCCAAAACAGACACTATAAGGCTACTTGTGGAAGAGAGTCTTCTAGGTAAGCCTTCATCTGTAGCCCTCAGAGTCAGCGTGTACACAGCCTGCAGCTCTCGATCCAAAGGTTTCTCCAGCCGGATGATTCCAGAGAATTCGTCAATAGAGAACTGGCCTTCTGCAGAGTTCACCAGTGAATAGTGGATTCGACGGTTTATCCCTGTATTTTAAAATGAATTGTAGAGTATTTAAAAAAAAAAAAAACAGGTAAAATGCACCAAAATAAGAGTGGATCTAATAGCTACAGAAATAAAGCACATATGTGAAATACTGTCATTCATCTTAAAAGTAAATTTCAGTGACACCTCCTGTTACAGCTTTCAGTTAACAGGATCTGTCAAGGACAGAATGATTCCCCGAAAGGTACAGTCTCATTTAAACAAACAAATTCTTCACCATACAGATTTTCTGTCACAAGAAAGTACAATTCTGTTTCAATCACAGCAGTGGCTAATATGAAAATATTAGTAATATAAATTTTAACTTTAAAACAACAGCATCAGCTTAGCAGGCTTAAAAATAACACTGGAGAATATGGGGAATTTGGACTGCATCAAGTAACCAGGCTCTATTCCAGTAGGTTTAAGAATCATATCCCAGAATTAACAGGAACATCATTTCTGGCAAGATCTCTATAGGGATATAAGTATAAAATAAACAAACAAAACCCTTAATGTTTTAGGTCAAGCTTTTTTTTTCACTAAGCCTCAAAGACTAGTGCATTTTTTTCCCTAAGCCTCAAAGACTAGTGTCAGTATGAAAACTTCTGACTTCCAGTTCCATAATTTTATCATAGATTTATCATAGCACAAATCAGTTCAGTTGTTTCATGACAATGAGGCAATCATTTATATTATTGAATTAAAAAAGGATAAGAAATATAGAAAAATCATATACCTTTAAACAAGATCCCATTCTCTTGTGTTCTTCTTCAAAATATATTAACAAGTCTTAAGAGCACATTTTTTCTAATGTCATTTTCAGTTCATGTCTTAATACTTAGAACTAAACAGTGATAATAAACAGGCAGAGTATATATATAAAGGTATATGTATAAGGTTGCATATACATATAGCTATATTTAACCCGAGGTCTCTTTAGGACATGATCATCAGCAACTAAGCTGAGGAGCACACATTCAAAATGTGACTTGAGAGGACTTCAACTTCCTTTCACTTACTGCAGGAGTAAAAGAGAAGACTTAGCATCATAAAAGTAATAGCTAAGTGCACAAAAGAAACCCTTCATTTTGTCTCTCTCCTCCATCTTTTCTTGCACAAAGATACAAAAGTGATATTCTCCAAGTTACTAACACATGAAACTTAGGTTTCTCATTGTTTAAYAGACCTAAATATATCATTCAGAAGTCTAATCCTGAGAGGTACTGAACATCTGTCAATTCCACCGGAAAACCTAACACCTCTCAGAATAAGACCAAATAAACACAACTGTAACTTGGAGACCATGGCAAGAGCATAGGTTAAAGAATGAGTACCTGTATCTGCATCTGTTGCCTGCACTCTCGTTAAAAGTGTTTTAGGCTCTGTGTTTTCAAACACAGTGATGGAGTAAGGATCAGCTGTAAACTCCGGGGCGTTATCATTCACATCTTCCAGAGTCARAATAATATTAGCCTGGCAGAATCTTCCTCCTCCATCTGTGGCTTTCACTAGAAGATGATAAACKGCTTGCTGCTCACGATCAAGTGGCATTAATGTTTTCAGTTCACCTACAAACAGAGTGAAAAACATCAATGGAAACAAGCTTCATTAGGCGACCCATAATGTGTAGTCTAGCATGCTTTCCTCCTCTAAAATCCTTTTGTGCTTAGAAAAGATGAACAACCATTTTCTTTCTGAAGATAATTTCATCAGTGGCTGAGTCAACAGCTGCAGTGCACCAGTGAGTTCTACTTTGGGCAGACCAAAAAACCTACCTTTCCTCCTTTGAATTTTTTTATGTTAAAATCCTGACAAAATACTGACATTTTTGTTTATCTTAGATYACAGTAAAACATTTTTATAAATTGACTGTATAGCCTATAAAGTGTGCCAAGTTTTACCTGTGTCTGGAGTCAGTCTGAACTTTTCTGCGCCTGTGCCATGCAGCGTATAGGTGATTTCAGCATTGGAACGAATGTCTGCATCCGTGGCAGATACCTGCATTATCAGTTTGCCAGGAAGGGCATCCTCAGGAACAGTATCGCTGTACAAAGCCTAAAAGATTTCAAAATAACATTGTATAATTAAAACATATGAAGTAAGTAGAAGGTGCACAGGAATGGAGGAAGAGAATGACAGATAAGATACTCCGAACGTTGGGAACATGTGAAGTGAACCAGAGAATGAAATACTTGAAAATGAAAAGGACTTGTGGATTTTCTAATTAATTACCTCACAATTAATGAATTACTTGGAAAGGTAACTATTACTGACATTTGCAACCTTATGGACTCTTGAGTGTCAATGCACGGCTACCAACTCTAAACACCTCTAAGACTAATAATCCCCATTCTTGTAGCTGTGAATTTCTTATTGCAACTTCATGTTTTCATCCTTTGGCAAGTCCTTTTCTCTAGGTCCAACTGAATCTAGAAGAAACCAACACCTGCCTTTTGTATAAAAGAGTTACAGGCTTCCAGATTAAATAATAGCTAAAGAAAAGAAGATTAGTAGGTAAAGACACTAAGCAGTCTCTCTCATTCATGTTAGGCATGTGAATTTACTAGAGAGGGACTGGCCCTTACAACCAAGACTAATATTAACAAAGGGATAAAGCTAAAAACATCGAGAAACACAGACTAATAAAAAGAATCAAATGTTGACAGTATCCTTGATCCTTCTCAGATTAAGAAAAGATTTTGCCTTTCCAATCCAATAATATCAAATCTATTCAACAGAACACAATGGTTATGAAATGTCCACAGGTGCTAAGAGAAGAAATAAAATATAAAAAATCTGATTGAACTCAGGGCCTTTTTATAAAGTAATTATACTTGCAGGTTTTGCTTTCTTGTTTCTTTCCATTCTTAAAAGAATTACATTTTTTTTGGTGTTGTTTACTACAACTTCCAATTTTCCAGTCTTTCCCACTCTTCTAACTCTTATCACTGGAAATGCACAAATACTTTGACTTCGAGACTTTAGCTACTTCAGAAGAAAGAATTATATAAAACTATCATGGCAACAGTCTAAAATATTTACTTTTGCAAAAGCGTGTATTAACACTGGAAAAAAATGAATTAATTTGTCTTCAAGTTCCTCAAATCCTCATCAAATGATGAAATCACATCATCAAATTGTCTTTGGATTTTTTAAATTGCTAAGAAATATGCCCCAGATTCTTTTGTAGCATGTTGCCTTTGTAGTACAAAGTACTAACTATTTCTGTTACTAGGGAAGATCTGTCAATCCCCTGAGATATAATTTCAGAGAAAATGAGCTTACATTTTACCTAGGGAAGCAGCTAGATGTGTAAGGTGTAAGACTGAGCCTACCTTTTCACAAACAGGGCTGTTATCATTAGCATCAAGAACTTTAACCTCCACCACAGCTTTAGCTGCAAAGGTCCCATCAGTAGCCGTAATATTYAGAAGGTAATTGTCCTTTTCTTCCCTGTCCAGAGGCTTTTTGACATAGACTTTCCATTCATTCTGTATATTTTCCACAGCAAACTGTCCCAAGGGATCACCTCCTGAAATATCAATAGATAGTTTACTAAAGATAAGAATGAGAATGTCTATCAACATTAACTTATAGCTCAATATAAATAAAAAATATAAATGCAACCAAGCAGACACTCTCTCTGGCTCTATAAAGAAATATACATATTTTTTTTCAGATGAAGATAGTCAGTGAATGCCTAGACAACAATTTAACTACATTACATAATAATGTACATTATATAACTAAATTATACAATTTACAATGTACATTATATGACTAAATTATATAATTTATATGAAGCTATATAATTTAACTACACGCTATAAGTAATAGCATAGAAATTAATGCAATATTATAGTTATAGCACACATACTAAATAAAAAATATTAAAATAATCCACTGAAAATTAGTTAAAATTTGAAAATTTTATTATTTTATGAAACTTCTTTGGTTTGGTCTTTCATGGCATCATTTATTTTAGGGATAATACTGATATATAAGAAGTAAACAACATATTTGGAAGACGTTTCAAGCATGTGTCAAACACAGCCAAAGATTTGCTTTCAAAAACTCATTTCTACCAATAGTTATTAATCTTTTAGTCTTTTAACTTTTAAAAAGAAAAGATATTTTTCCTGCCACTATATGGATTCAAAATATGTATGTTTGCTAATAATTTGAAAGACTAAATCGTAATTCACAGCGTTGTAGAATTACTCAGATGATTGTTTTGTCATGACTCAAAACCCATTTACCTGTAATGTAATAGGAGACTTGTCTATTGGCTTCTTCTGTATCAGCATCAGTGGTACTCAGGATGGCAATGACCCCACCAGGAGGGTCATCCTCGCTGACTGTCCCTTTATATATCTCTGCAGTAAAGCGTGGAGGGTTGTCATTCACATCTGTAACAGTAACTTCAACCACTGCCATAGAAGATAGCTGGGTTTTCTCCCCCCGGTCTGAGGCAACCACTGTAATTTTGTAGTTGTCCYGTTTCTCATGATCGAGCTCCTTGAGAGTGATTATCCAACCAGTTTCCATGTTTATGGCGAAAGACTCTAAAATGTCCAGTTCTTGCGAAGGATCTAAGCTGTAAGTAACCTGCCCGTTGAGTCCTGAATCTAAATCAGTTCCTTTAACTTGGATGACTCTTGTTCCAGCAGGCATGTTTTCCACAACAAATGCTTCATAGGGATTAGACTCCAAAACTGGTTTATTATCATTTGCATCTTTTACCTGAATGCTTACTTCCACTGAGGAAACAACATCATAACCTTCATTCGCGTACTGTGCTAGCACTGAGAACTGGTACCACTTAGTTGTTTCATGATCAAGCTTCTTCTCAAGCTTCAGTCTCCCACTTTGTCGGTCAATTACAAAAAAATCATCCTTATTGCTTTCAGGAGTATTCCCTTTAACAAGCCTATACACCAAAGTCTGGTTATGCTCTGCTTTGACAATATCTATCTCAGCTCCAATTGGAAGGTCTTCAGAAACAGTGTAAGAATAAAATGGTTCTGAAAATCTGGGGAGAGGCACTTCTGGTGGGAGTATTCTAGCATAGACAGGAACAACGGACTCCTTTGAGGGGGAACCACCATCTACTGCTCTAACAAAGAAGGTTAGAAACTCATTTTCTAATCCAATTAAGCTTTCTTTTGTAGTAATKACCCCTGACAATGAATCGATTTCCAAATTCTCTTTAACACTTTCAGACTCTGCTTCAATAGCATATGTGATGTCTGCATTTGTACCCTCATCCGCATCAGATGCCCAGACTTTGATGACGGAAGTTCCCCTTGGAACATCAGATCCGATATTTACTTCGTATTCTGTTGCTCGGAATTGAGGAGCGTTATCATTGTCATCTGTAAGGATTACATTAACTGTACAGAAAGCAACTTTTCCTCCTGAATCTTTGGCCATTAAACTTATGGCAATTACTTTTTCAGCTTGTGTTTCACGGTCAAGCTTTTCTGAGGTAAATATCTGCCCTCTCTTGTTTGTGTAAAACCTATCTTTGGCAAAGTCATTTACTATGTGGTAAGTGATGTGGCCATAAGTACCAGAATCTTCATCTGTTGCYTTAACTTCAGTCACCAAAGTATGTAAGGGGGCATTTTCAGCTAGTTCCACCTCGTACTCATTCTGGCTGAAAACTGGGTTATGCATATTGGCACTGGTTACAATAACGTGCACTTGGGCTGAGCTTCTGAAGACTCCGTCAGACACAGACACATTAAGATTATAATGTGACTTGAGGGTCTGTCTGCGTAGGTTTGAGATGGTGATGATGCCAGTTTTACTATTAATTACAAAATTCATGTGGTCGTTGCCTGTCAGAATGGAGTATTCCAGCTTGTCAGCATCAGAACTGTCCGCATCTGAGGCCTGTACACATGTCACAAAATGCCCACGAGGAGCCAGTTCACTAATTTTAGCTTCATAAAGCAACTGGGTAAACAGCGGGGGGTTATCATTGAGATCAGTTACATCAACAGTGACAACAATATCACTGCTCAAAGGCAGCATGCCACCATCTATGGCCCTAACTAGTAATTTGTGCTGTTGAATTTGTTCATAGTCCAAAGTTCTTGCTGTCAGAATGAGTCCAGTAACACTGTCAATGTGGAAGAAGTCTTGGCTTCCACTATTATCCTCGACTAGGTGGTAGGAAATGCCTCTGTTTGTTCCAGAATCAGCATCCGTAGCACTCACTTGTACAACAGATGTTCCAATGACAGAAGCCTCAGAAAGGGTCACGGTGTAAGACTGCTTGGTAAACACAGGAGGATTATCATTGATGTCTTCCACTATTATGTCGACAAAGACATCAGCATGAGCCCCAGTTAGGGAGTCTGTTGCTCGGATATTCAGTTTGTAGGCTGGATGAGCCTCAAAGTCGAGAGGGGCGACAACATTTACGACTCCGGTGTTGAAGTTGATAGTGAACTGATTGAAAGGATCTCCATCCGTGATGCTGTAAAACACCTTAAGTCCTTCCGGGCTGTTTGCTTGTACATGCACAACAGGGCTATGGAGCTGAATGTTTTCTGGTATCTCTGCACTGTAAAAAGGCTTTTCAAAAACTGGCATAGCTTTATTCATAACTGTAATTGGAACTACTACTTCAGCKGTGAAAGCTGGTTCTCCTCCATCTTTTGCCACCACTGTGACCATATACTCCTTATTTAGCGTGTCAAGTTCAAATTTTTTCTTCAGGGAAATTTCTCCAGTGGGGTCAATTTGGAAGTGTTCATGATGTTCTTTGAGATAGTAATGTACCTCCCCATTTCTGCCTGTATCTTTATCTACAGCAGTGACACGTCGAATCACATGGCCTACTTCAGAGTCTACTTTAACAACAGCGTAATAGGGAAGATTGACAAAAACTGGAGCGTTATCGTTTACGTCTTCCACGGTGACTTTAACCACAACGTGAGCCACAACTGATGGTTTATGCTCCTCCGTCACTTCTATCACCACATCAAAAGATTCTTGCTGTTCCCGATCAAAAGGTATTCCGGTTGTCGAAAGGACTCCTGAAGTATAGCTTATTTTAAATCTGCTGTCTGGATTTAGAATGTGATAGAACAAAGGCTCATTTATTTGATTCCCTATAGCAGTGACAACAGCTATTGTCTTTGCCTCAGTGGAATTCTCCTGCACTGTTGCAGAGTACGAGCTCTGTGTGAACTTCAGTTGGCTTCCTTTGCTTTCTTTCACATTAATTTTTACCGATGCAGTGCTTGCAAATCTGCCATCGGATGCTCTAACTGTTAACTCGTATCTGCTCCGCAACTGAGTGGTATTTTGTACTGTTATAACTCCGGTTTTAGGGTTTATGGAAAATTTTTCTCCAATGTTGCCTTCAATAATGGAATAAATTAATTGTGAAAAAATGCCCGAATCGGCGTCAGTGGCATTTACGCTGATGACTTTCACTCCTCTGTAGGTGGGAACCAAAATGGATGTCTCATACAACTCTTTGGAAAACACAGGAGGGCAATCATTGATGTCAATTACATAAATAGTAACATTAGCTGCATAGTCTGCATATAAGCGGGGTATCCCCATATCATGCACTTGCACTGAAAAGTGGAAAATATTCGTCTCCTCRTAGTCCAGGCTCATCACAGTCCGGATGGCACCCGTGCTAGAATCGATGGCAAAGTACTTGTGGACAGACGGTTCAACAATCTGATAAACAAGCAAAGCATTTGACTCTTTATCAGCATCTGTAGCTCGAATTACTAGTGGCACRTTCTTGTCAGTCAGAACCACGCTGTTAATTGAAGCCGATTCACTGATGAGTCCTGTATATTCAGCTCGTGTGAAAACTGGTGCATTGTCATTCTCATCGCGCAGATGCACCAGAACGGTTGCATTAGTGGACAAGCCAGCCATGTTTGTCCCCTGCACAGTCAGCACGTAAACAGGCAAAGTTTCAAAATCAAGTAACTTCTGAGAGACGATAACACCCGAGTTTGGGTTGATAGCAAAGGCATCACCTATATTACCATCTCTTATTTCATAAACCACGGACGACTGACTGTACGCTGTCACCATCCCGACAAACGAGCCCAGGCTGGCACTCTCACTGATTTCGGCGGAGTACTCCTTGGCTGTGAATTTGGGGGAGGCGTTATCGGAAACGGTGACAAACACACGCACAGAAGTCGCTTCACTCAGCGGAGGATCCCCTCTGTCCGTGGCTTTCACTACCAAGTTGTACTCTTCCTGGTTACTCCGCTCCAGTTCTTTGGCAATTTTAATTATACCCAAAATGGGATCTATAGAGAAGGCATTTCCAATATTCCCTATGAAGACAAAGAAATGTAATTAAGAAAAAGGTATGTAAAAATTAAAGAAAGATTGTTCATTTAGCCATTAACTAAATAGATGATGTACAGAGAACACAGGGAACTAAAGGTTTCTTGTTTTTGTTTTAAAATGTTCTTTAGCCTCTTTGGAAAGTTTTATGTAATGAATTAGCAATAATTCTAAGTTTACTCAAAGAAATGGCAGCAAGCAGAGTTAGTAAAGTTACCCAAGACTTCAAAATAAATTCAAAATTTGGATTTATCTTCAATTWAAAAAAGCTAATAAAGTTCACAGGTATTTTGCAGCTTTCAACAGCAAAAAATATGTATATTTTCGACAAATACCTTCTTACTGAGTTCATGTTTAAACTAAATTAAATATCTACTGAAGCTGAAAGAAAACCACATTCAGAAGCTGCTATTAGGGGAAGAAGAGTTATACTATATGATCTAAAGTAACTAGATTTTTTGGAAGAAAAAGTGTTATGACACTTTTGATTCTCAAGTGCTTATGCAAGAATCCTTTAAATTACTGTTACAAAATTAAAGATTTTTCTGAATTAGACTAGAATTTATTTTCATTTTGACTTCATATTAACAGTCAAATTATGCCCTGYRATAAAATATTAGGGAAAAAAAAGASCAACTGAATAATACCAGCTGACACTTGAAAACCATTTGTTTTCAACTATCTATTTGAGACTGTAGAGAATGCTGTGTACAGTGTAATTCAACTCAAGCACTAGAACAGTGTAAGATTTAACATTTTATCCCCTTAAAAATTACATTACATTCCTAAAGCCATGTTCTCAGCAGGGAAAAATCCATTGAAAACTTCTGAGTTATGCATATAAGTAGGCAGAAGATGCTATCTTTTTTTTTTAGTGCAGGCTCTGAACACAGTGGCATTCTTAGAATATGCCATTACAAATCTCATCAGACATCACAAGTATTTCAAGAATGTTCATTCCATATGCTTAAAACATCAGCTGTAAGGCTTTAACCTCCCAGTAGATGACAATTCTATAAAACAAATCCAAAAGTCTCACATTTACTCCTACAAAAGTCTAGAAGAAAGGAAAAGAACAGGGTGTAAATTCATGCCAGACAGCAGGCATATACATTTTTTCTTGCAAGGCTTTGTTATTCACAAAACATGCACTACTGAATTAGGGGAGGCAAGAGCAGTTTTATGAACATTCGTGTCCTGCTTAGTAAAAAGGCTTGTCTTCCTCTAAACAGCAGAAAACAAAGATAGATTTTAAGCCAGCTTATCAGACATTTAAATATATTCTCCCTCTTCAGAGTGTCATAATCACAGCTTTGTTTAAATACTGTCTTAGAGCATGCTTCTACATCAAAATAACACTTTGGGGGGTAAAAAAATAGGGAAAATATTTACAATAAGCAATTTTATATCTTTATAAAATAACTTTTGGCAACAATAAAGAGGCAACATTTGCCCATATCATCTTGCACACAGCAGTAACTGCATAACTTTTTTACCTACTGCTCTAGTATTGAGTTTCTTATACACGTTACTGGAAGGTTTATTGTAAAATCCTTCCTAGCTTCAAAAGGGTATAACACGATGCTAACACAACTTAAAGAACATACTCTGCTTTCTTGCCAGTTTTGCTTGTTTTTCAGTCATAATGGCTAAATAATTCAGGACCTTGCTGATGGCAGATTTGTGTCCAGATTTCCTGGCCCGAAACCAAACTGACTAGTTAGTCAGTGTTTGGTATGCATCTTTAAAAAGCTTAACTTAACTGAGACTGCTTGGTATCTCTGTCTGCAATAGCATATAGATTTTTATTTTTGAGCTTCCTTCATTCATGTTATGCTGAAAACCAACAAATATGTCACAGGCTCTTACTCTTTTCATCAAATCCTTACTGTGCCCATGCCTTAAAACATAACCTACGTCATCAGTACTGAATGCAATTTTAAGATCTAAATTTAATGCTTCTGCAGTTTCTAATGAGCAAATCCTTTTAAGGATAATCCTTAGCTTTTTCTTCCAGAGGGTAGCAAAAATAGATGAGGGAGATGAATATTAATTATCCAATCCATTCCAGTTTCAAAGCTCTAAGACTATGGCTTAAACAGATGACAAAATAAAACACAGACTTCTGTCATCACCCTCTTTCTCATAGCTTATTTTTTATATGTTTACAGATAAAACAGAACAGTCAAGAATTATTATTTTAAAACAGACTGAAGATTTAAGAACGTCAACATACCTGACTCAATAGAATACACAATTTCTGCATTTTTCCCTTTGTCCTTATCTAAAGCTGTAACCTGGAGCACTGCTGATCCCACAGCTGCCGACTCGTACACCCGTCCCTCGTAGGAAGTGCTGGTGAACCACGGTGCGTGATCGTTGGTGTCACTCACGTTAATGATGATCCTGGCATAGTTGCGCTTCACAGGAACATCCTGATCTCGAACCTAGAACAATTAGCACATTACCAGCCATTAGCACCATGCTATATTAGCCCTGTTATTGCAGTAGTTCATCCAATATTAGTAGTAATTCAGGGTTCAACCTGCACCAGTCACAGTCAAACTCAATATACACATAAAAGTTTATACTGGGCGAGAAGCAAAACAAAAAGGCATTTAAAAAAAAAAAAAGATATGATTGTTGCTATCTTCAGCAAATGAAGAACAAAGGTGTTTATTTACCATGACTGTAAGAATATGCTGGTTCATGGTCTCATGGTCCAGTTTTTCTGAAGTATAGAGAGTGCCAGTTGCCGGGTCCAGACGAAATTTTTTGAGACTGATGGGATCAGTGCTACCCTGCATAGTATAAATCAGTTTATTCTTCTCGTCTCTGTCTGTGGCACTGACTTGCAAAATTTCTGTCTCTGGTACAGTGTCTTCAGGTATAACAACTTCATATTTTGAAGTGGAAAACTGAGGCCTGTGATTATTTGTATCTATTACTTTGATGTACACCTGAAATGATATAATGGAAAGGGGAAAATATTAATGATATTTGGGAAACACAGAGGGAAATGGGATATCATTAGAAAATAGACCATAACGCTGCAAACCAAATTGTTTTTTTCCAGGAAAAAAGAAAATCTCACGATGTCCAAGTCTGCCTCCTTGACTCCAAAGTCAAAACAGAAGGCTCTGCAGTCAAAAATGCCTTTAAATAAGGTATCTTAAAAAGTAAACATTTGTGTATAATATGGAAAAGAATTCTGCAGTAACTCTGAAATTAAAAAAAAAATGATATTTGTCATTATGGATCACAGAGTTGGTGAAAATTCTCTTTATTTTTTTCAATTTTGGAATTTTAAGCAACGCTTTCCAAGGCAGCAGACGCTGCATGCCCTCACGTGGAAACAATCCTCTCCCAGCTTCTTACAGCTCCGAGCCTAGGCTGGTTGTAAACTACAGAAAGCAAAATGGAAAAGTGGTAGAAATCCTACAGCATGTTATTTCAAATTCAACTTTTTGTTCTTCTTGTGTGAAGCAGCAGGCAGCTGCTTGTCTCAGCATTTCACATAACATGCAATCCACAGCTATTAATACCTGGCGCCACTGCTGGAGAGACGATTTTACTGTATATCAACTATACAGTAAATTGGGGAACTATGCAGAGGCACGGATACCTCTGACGTATCTCAGGAAGTCTATTATAACACAAACTATCGCTGCTGGCAACAGGAAAATGCCGCCTCTGGCAGCCTATTAGAATTCCCAGAAGATGATGGCAAAGAGRGAAAAGAAACTAATTGTTTGACCTTTTAAAAAGCACCTTGATAAAGTTCCCTGCAATAGGTTTCTACGGAAACTAGGGAGTTTGGTTTCTGTCTCGGATTAGAAGCTGATTAAAGACAGAAAACTGGAGTCAGAATATTGATTTTCATCAGGAAGAGAGAGAAATCAGAACTAAGTACAATATCAGAGTGAAGTATGAATAAAGTAGGTGATTCAGGTTGTACTTCAGGTTTTAAATGCAAGGTTTTAAATACATTCATTACCAAAATCAATTGGAATATGAAAAAAAGATCCTTAACTATGTAATTTTTTTTAAATGTGTAAGAATACATTCTATTGTGTACTAGASTGTATACTGTATATATGTACATTATATAATCTAATGTATACKATAACTGAATTCAAAATTAAATAGTCACTTAAATAGCACTTTTGTTAAAACATCTGCTCACTTCACATTGATGCTCAAGAAAACAAAGCAAATTAATGATAACCAGCAAAAAGATATGCAGAAAAATCCGCCTTTCAAACCAAATCCAACTACACAAATACAGTTTGTATAAATAGAAGTCTAAAGGACAATGCACAGTTATTTCACTGTTAGCACATATAGGGATATTATGACTTCAAAATGAACACAGCTCAATCATTTTTTTGTTATTCAGTTTCCACCCACAGATAATTTAGACTCAGAAATACATTAAGTGAAAAAACAAAGTGTTTGAGAAAGATTTGAGAAATTTAATTAAAGATGACTATTTAGGTTCATGTGTATTTCTCTTGAAATAAGAAAATTAGAAAACCTAGGAAAACACAGGGGCAGGAGGGAATGCAGCCCCAGGAGTCTTAGACTCCCCAGGCGGGAAGGCCATCCCTGCTGCTGCAGCTTGACACTGTAACTACAGGAAACAGCAGTTCCAAAATGAAGCACCACAAAGTACTGTGCAAGGCATACGCTGAACACCAGGAGTGTGGTGATTGTGAAGCCAACACAACACCTCCAAGACCAACCACATAACCACATGGCCAAAAAAAACCCAACCAAGCCAAAACAAAAAACTTAGAACTATCTAAATTTGTCAGTCATTTTTGAGTTGAATTCAAAAAAGCTAAAAACTTCCAACCTGTAACTATTATGGAAACCTACTAACAATCCCTACTTTGGAGAGCCCCTGGAGACTTACTAGCGTTCTTATTGGTGCTCAGGGGCAAATGCTAGGGGTGTGATTTGGGTTTAAATGTCAAAGGACCAAATTTTCACGGGAACTGTGAAGGTCTGCAATTTAAACCAAAGACCACGGCTGGCCAGTTACAACTGTGAGTGCTGTTCTGAAGCCCCCCACAGAAAGTTTCTGTGCTTGAGACCGAAGCAACTACATCAATAATGTCCTCTTATAAAATAAAATTTAGAGTGCAGTTGAACCAGCCACAGCCCTTCTCAGTGCGATTAGAAGACGGGATATACTCGAATATGGAATACACTCATCTTGCTGAAGACAGAAGTCACCTGAGAGGCACACTAGAGAAAAGCTTGACATGAGTGCAATGCAATGGGAGCTCTGAAATAAAACAGCTGGAAACTGAAAAGACTCAACCTGTTTTGCAAGGCCATGTGAATGGCCACACTGCATGGCTGTGCTCTACTCATATTGATACAAGGAAGAATATTGAAAATGAGAATGGCAGTTATGTAGAGAAGAGTAAAGCGCAGGACTGCTGAGTGGAAGCAACTGAAATCTATTAATTATACCACAAGTGACACCCAAAGTTGCATAGAAATATGCTGATTACTAGTGAGTTATAGAGAATGTGTGCCACTGATAAAAAATTGCCCTGTTATATTCAAAAATTATATTCCTTTGGATTGTTTAAATCTTATTTAGTGTTTGCTGATTCCTTGTGGAGTTTAAGAACTCCTCCTGACTTTACTCATAATTATATTATGGCTATATCGACATGTTTATATTCATGTTCATAAACAAAGCTATATTAAAAGTTRTATCATCTGGAGAGAATATAATTGCATTCTTCTTCCAAAATGTCTCTGTGGAGCAGTCTGATGCTCACAAACAAAAATGCAAATTTAATCAATGAAGAGTATTCTATCCTTCATTCCCAAATCAATCCCGAAGTATAATATCCACATAAATTTTACATAAAACAAGATTCAGTATTTAGCAACAGAAAAGCAATATGGAAAGTACTGCAGTTAGCTTGAAACTTTCTTATGCATTTCTTCTAATAAAAAAAACAAATAGCAGTGCACGATATATATATGTGTGTATATATGTGTATATATATGTATATTTATTTATTTTAAAGCAACTGAATATTTCACGTACTGCTTCTTATTTCTGTGAATAACCAATTAAGGCTAAAACACTACGATCCAGAAACATTAGTACATTGATTTTTTTTTTCCAGTTATATTTCTTCCTATTTGTCTCTAAGTCATCTTTGTCAAACACCATCACTGTAGGCCTGGAATTTGTTTATTCTTGTTTTGCCTCATGCATTTGGCATTTAYACAATCTCCTAACAGCCTCCACGTCTACTGCTGCTGCCCTGTTTTTCAAATAAGCCATTTAACTGAAGGCCTGAAAGAGGCAAATGCCCTACAGATGTTCACGGCTTGAGGCCAGCCAAAGCCTCCTAAGAGACTCTGTGGATGGATTTGGTTTCTTATTCAACTCCTAACAATGTCTTGAAAACATCATTTCTTTTTTCAACCTAAATTTAAGATTATTTAATTTGCTGTTAATCAATGTTTASTGCATTTCAAAATGCTTACATCAATTATTTGTAGGCTGTAAGTTCTGTATTGCTTGTTCTTGATACATACTCAGGAGTCAGACTTTTTAAGACTTCTTAACTGATTATCAGTGCGTTAGAGGACTCAGCACATCATCAGCATTCAAATTTTCCTGGTCCTTATCTCRTCTGTGAGTAACAGAATTTATACACTAGTAGGTATAAATAACACCTTCACCTTAAGGGGAAATGAAAGTGTTGAGACTGAAACAGCAACATCATAACTTGTGCTTTTCCCACAGGCAAGGGAAATAGGAAGATTTCAAGCCTTCTATCCAGCATTTCTATTTCTGAGTGAAAAAAACGAATCCAATCAGTAGTTTTTTTATTACAAGCAAAACAATAAACTTGTTTCTCCAAATACTTTATGATGATTATAAGTACCAGTGGCAATAGTAACAGCTATGAGAGCAGCAAGTCCTAATTTACGCTCTACTGGGGGACGTGCTGTAGTTTTTGAATGTCCATGGTACACAGTGTCACTCACAATTGCCACCATTAAAGGAAACGGGGTGTCTCAAAGGAAGCTACTACCCTGGCAGCCTTCTTCTACTAGAATTCAGTCTATTTGACCTATTTAGCCTGTAGACATAGTCAGCTGAATAAAGTTTCTGTTTTAAATACTAAATATTTAAAAGAAATATTCTTCCCTCTAGATATCTAGATGAAAGAAGGAAGAAGATTATGAACGACGCAGAGGAACAAAAGAAACACGTGTATTTTGCACAAAGATGGAACAACAAGAAGTTAGGTTCCTAACAGAGATTTCTATGTACACAGCAGACCCCAGAAACCCTCCATTTGCCCTGCAAGTTTTGTAACTAAGGGTTAGCTAAATAGCAGGAAACACACATGTAGCACTATCCCCATCAGACTTTGTTGCAGTAAATAATTTGTCTCCCTTCCCTGTGGAAGAGGAGGGAACTCCTCTGCGCTCATGGCTTCATTCCTGCCAGTCTCAGATAAAACTTGCTTCCAAATACATCCATGTTCGGAGTTGGGGAGAGAAACTACATGGGAAAAACAGGATACACACATACCACAGCCTACCTTACTGTGGATTACTTTGAGTAATTCACTGAAGGCTGCTGGCCTAAAGCAAACTTTGTATTAGCCCAGCTGCAAAGAAGTTGTCAGGAGGAAAAGTTGGACGGAGGTAATTTGAAGAAATTTAGTTTGTCACAGACTAACAAAGACCCTCCAATATATGGCAATCTGGACCTTCCTTGAAGGTAAAAGAAACTACTCAGGAGAATGCACACCAAGATGTTATCCTCTAGAGCTTGTTTCCATATGGATACCATGCAGCAGGAGAAACTCAGTTTCATAAAACTGAATGTGGATACTGTACAGCTCGCCACTCACAGATTTTAAAATGATTTACAATGGTCTTCTAAATGCCCAGCTAAATAATCACATTATTTAATCACTTAGAGTAGCCGTACTCTAAGTGATTAGTCGTACTTCACATAAAGAGCTCAGTTTCTGCTCTCATTTACTGAGCTAACTTAGCCACATAATACAAAACAAAAGTCATTGATTTAGACTATGCTTTTATAACCTTCCACCTGGCCTACCAAACACTATGGCTGTGTGAACATCAGAATGTCAGTTTTCGACATAGTCCCCTTTTTTAATATAAATCAGATACACTGTCCATGTTGAAAAAAAAGTATAAAAGGAAAACAAAGCAAAACAAATTCTTGCAGTTACAAACCTCCCTTTACAAACACTTCACTAGCAGCTCCCTTACCTGAGTGCTGATAGTTCTGGTTCCATCTGTTGCCTCTACTGTCAAGTTGTAATTGGATCTCTGCTCTGCATCGAGCGGTCTAGCGACAACGATGGTGCCAGTGCCTTTGTCCACGTCAAATCGACTGTCGTAGTTGCCACCTTGTTCAAGAAATTGGGAGGAGGAAAAGTTCATAAAACACAGCCTTGCTTTACTCTTTCATGTATGTTCATGTTCTTCTTCAGATGCTTAATGAAGGTGGAACTATACAGACACATTTTAAACCCTCTACTGTTCTGGTGACAAGGTATGGTGACAGGTATTTAAATGAGAGTAGTTTTGGACAGAGCTGATTTGTCTGGCTCATGGAAAGTTCATAGGTACATTCAGAGCAAGATTCTCAGTTTTTTAATCAGAATTTAAGGATTGCAAAAGGCAGGAAATAGAGAATTATCAGGTGAAATATGATAGCTTATTTCATGCAGAAAGACAGGTTAAATAGCAAAAAGGTCCTTTATCTCACATCAGAAGGGCTCTCAAATTCATATCTCTTGGGTCAGAGTAAAAATTAAAATACTCATATATTTATAGTGATAAAGTTGAAAAAGCTACAGTGATGCTAAAGGATACTCAGGTCAATGCTGAGTATCTACAAGACCTCATGATCTAACCCCCTCCTGAGTAGGACTTGGATGAGCATTAAAAGCTTAAATGGTTTAAATATGCTCAAGCTCTTCTTCTGAAGCAAGTTAACTGATTTCCCTTGCAAAACTTGCAAATTATCCTTTTGAATATAGCCAAATAACCATGTAGATCAACAGCTACACTTATGTCTTTAAACATTTTGTTGGGCGTCATCACCTCTGTGCCACTCTGAGCAAATTATCATATGAACGCCCTATAGGCTCAAAAAATGATAAAATTGACTATTAACTACAATTGCTTTAGACTTGCCAATAAACCAAGAAAAATGGGGAAATTAATTTTTTTTGGTCAAGCCAGTGCTAGACATAGCAAAGCAACTTCTTCTAACTGTATGCATGTTTTTCTAATTATATTTTATATTAATACCATTGAGGTGTAACAAGTGCTTTATTTATTTACATCTAAAGTCTTATTACATGCTATGTTTTGTACATCATTGAATGCTTTTTATGAAAAGCCACGGCTAGAAGTGAGACAGTGAAGTACCAACGGTTGCCAAACTTATATTTAATCTAAGAGAGAGCAATAAACACTGCAATGGGCCCCCATTCCAACAGAAAAGGATTGCACCTTGAGAAGGTTCCATCACAAGACAGACATAACAATCCAGGAAAGATGGGCTGGATTATGCTTCACGGGATTTAAGATATTTAGAAAGAGTTAATAATAAGGATACATTTTTTTTTTTTTAAGTTTCACTGAAAGCCAGTTTCTTCTGTTGGCCTAGAAGTAGTTTGAATTACACAAATGGATATAAAATGAACAGCATGAAATGCAGCAGCTTTGTTTTCAGCAGACGCATGCGAAATCCTTTATTTGGTTTTGTGCAAGATGTCACCTTCAGAAAGTGAAGTGTCTGGCTTTTCTTTTATAGCTGATATGTGATATTGTTTTCTCAGATAGCTAGGAATTAAATTTAATATCTAGAATTTAATGTCTCAATGAAGCCATCTTCACTGTAAGAAGACAGCAGGATCAAGGGATACAAGAAGTACTCAGCTTTCCTGGTGTAAGGACAAGCTTACTGACTGACTTATTTATTCTGAAGTAAAGAAATTGCAAAGCTCTCTTCCAATTTTTCTAGCAGGGGTGATATCTGGCAATCCACTGAAGCAGCACCCAACCCAAATGTTTGCATCAGGTGCACTGAAAGTATAATAGCAACAGTTTTGGTGAAAAGCCAAAACTGGAAGCTCTAAAATGATGCTGTGTAAATGTAATGATGACAAAACAAAACAAAAACAAACCTGTCACAAATGCAACTGTGAGCACTTTGATCTCCGAAGAGTTAATAAAATAAATATTTTATAAATGTACGCTTTCATTTCAGATCTCATAATCTGGTAATAAATTATGTGATCTCAGCAGATACCTTCTGCTGTACAGTTCAGGTCACAAGCCATCTGAAAGATGTAAAATACTTCACTAGCAAGCTTGTCTCCTGGCTCAGCCAAAAAGAAAGAAAGCATGGAAAGCAAGCACAGAACATAAAGGAAAGCCGTCAATCAAATTATTTCATGCTATTAGAAACAGTAAAAGAGGGCAGTAAAGAGATCACCTTTAAGAGCAGCTAACTTGATAACATAATCCCACACCAAACTTTCCAAAACCCTTTTGTTAAGAAAACAGTTAAAATGTTTGCTTTCACAATCTGTAGGTAAGTCCTGCTCTCCCCTCCACATTAAAAAATAAATATAAAAATATATTTAAAAAAAAAAAACTTGAGAATTTTCTATATATGCCTTTTAGAATAACAGGAATAGATCATCTATTCTCTGTGTTAAGCATACAATAAAAATAAGTATCGAAGCTGTTCAAATTTCATGCTTATGAGAAGAAAAATCTATATAAAAACATTATCAGAATAATAAGACACTAACCAGAGTATACAGTAGTTAAAAAAATAAAACAATAGAAAATTAATTCCCAATATTTTAAACAAATTCTGCCAAACTAGAGACCTACCAAAATGCCATTGCTTCACCCTGTGGAAACTCTCAGGACTGAAGTTGTTGATGGCATCTGTGGCCTCTTCTACTTCATCATCTTCACATCTGTCAGCCACTTGCTATTAGTAGCACCATATTTTTTTTTTTAACCTTGCCCTTACTGGCCTCTTTATAGACTACAAGTATTTCTGACTATTGACTGGGTGATGCTGGTTGAACCAAGGCAGAGAGAAGCTCTCTTCATATTCCAGCTCTGCTTCCGTAAGCAATTTTAATGTTTTTTACTCCCATGTATGTGTGCACATATGCTTGGGAAACAGTAAAATGTCTCAGTTCCCAAAAACCTGCAATGCAGACATCTTAAGTCCCTGTGAGAATTCAAGGGGGCATCTGGAATCCTTTTCTCCCTCTATACCGATGAACAGATCTATGATCTTTCAGGTCATTATCGGAACATCCTCTGAAACAGGGCTCTACTGTCCTTGATTGCGAAAAATGTAAATGAGGACAGAACGTGTTTTTACTATCAGCTATACAGTAAACACTCTGTATTCCCTGTACTCGAAAGTCTACTGGCTAAGTCTAAAATTAAAGCATTTTATTCATTTTGCCACTACAGTATGTGTTTAATCACGTTACTGACTAGAATTCTCCTTTCAGTGGAAGGGGCTAAAGGCTCTTTTCAACAGCAAGAACACACACAGGCAGAAGTTTGCAGGGGCTATGAACATCCTGGAGGTTCCTTCCTCCTGGTACTGAAGGCACAGTGTAGAAAGGAGCAGTCAAGAGAACAAGTAGTGAATCTTAACAGTATAATCTCTTTGTATGTACTATCTCCATTTACAGAAAACTGGCATTTTACTTCTTTCCCTATCCCACTACCTACGAGATTAATTTGATTTATCTTAATTTCACTGACACACTATTCACAAGTCAATTCCAAACCTGTAACCCAGATATTTTTCAATGTGTTTTTCTTCTTCAAGTGCAGCATTCATTAAAATTTTAAAATCATTTTGACACATAATGAAATAAAAAATTCCAAGGGGGAGAGTGGAAATCACCTGTAGCTAAAGAATGTCAAAACCTTGTGTTGTTTAAGTTAAGAAAACAAGTTACAACGAGCCCTTCAGCATCTCACGCTTCTTGCATTTACTGCTAATGATCAAAGCCCCTAGTGCATCCTTACCCGTAATGTCAAACCAAAGTGGTGTTCCAAGGGGTTCAACAGCTATTACGCCAATCATGTGAGCAACTGGATCACTCTCCATCACCGTAAAAGAAAAAAATGTTTCCTCAAAATAAATGGGCTCTGGAGGTGGGGTTGGCTTTGGAATCCATTCTATATGAAGCCGTGTAGTTGATGATTTCTGTGGGCGACCGTTATCTACAGCTTTAATCTGTGAAATAGATACATCCTTTAGGCTACAGGATCACATAACTGATTATGTCACATAAATAGAAAAGCAGTAAGAAGTCCCAACCATGTTTGCTTATGTGAGATACATCCTAAAAGATTAAGTATTTCAAAAAGTGGCAGAGTAAAACCATGCAGCACCTAATAGTAGCATACAACCTATTTTCATAAATGCACTTTAATCTTGCTATCTTCCTGAAAGAAGTGTCAGAATCTGTGACTGTTTATGTTCTCTCATCGTGTTCATTAACCGTTAAGTTTTGGAAAGTGAATAACGGCTTCTTGATTCATTTTCCAAATACAGCCCTCTGAAATCATCCCGTAAGTAACACATAAGCAAAATGATACTGATACTTCTGCTTTTGCAGGCGCCTGCTCTCTTCCCACACCTCATCCACTCATCTGCCAGCTACAGAGTAAGAAGTGATGAGAACACAGAGAAAAGCACACTCCACGAATCCAGGATACATGAGATTCTCACTCACTGAAAGGATATCATATTCCCTGGCTGCCGAAACCTTCTTGGACGAAACCACTCCAGTTTTGGGCTCAATAAAGAATTTGCCGTGTTCATCGCCCTCTTCAATGCTGTAGGAGATCTCTGCGTTGGGCCCCTCGTCCTTGTCGGCGGCAATGACGCGGTAGATGGGCTCCCTCCTGGCGGCGCGCTCGCGGTCTGGCTTGCCCCGCTCCGGAAGCTGGATTTTGTAGAACTTTTGCAGGAATTGGGGCTTATTGTCATTCTCGTCTAAAACCTTCACAATCACTCGTGCAACAGTTGATTTTGCGGGAATACCGTTGTCTGTTACAGTCACCTGTTTTTATTAAAGTAACAATAATAAAAAATGTTAATGCTTAATATCATCTTTCTAATCTGTGGGCATTTTTTTAATGATAATTTCTTCAAACTACTACAACTGAACAGTACTTTCCAAACTTTATTTACTTACAAAGTATTAGTTCAAAGAAATATCACTTATTTGGTGAATTTTTATAAAAAACACTACAAAAATGTGTAATATACCTACTGTCTTAACATCCTGATGCTTAAGATACAGAATTTAGGAGCTAACAGATACACACTAAATCTCACTTTTGCAGCATGGTAACTGAAACATCAACTTGTGTCACAGATAACAGCTTCCTTGTTAATAGCTTCCTTGCAACTTTTAAATCTAATGGTTTGTTTTTGTTCCTCAAAAGATATAATTTAAAAGGCAAGCAGGAATATAACTGCCAGAATCTGGCAGGCCTATGCATTAGAATAAAACTATGCATTTTAAAACATAAAACCATTATGTTGCTAGAAAAAAAGGTTAAAAAAAAAGTCTTTTAGAGAATGCAAATAGTAATCTCTTTCCATATCCTAAATGAAATGGGAAATAGAACCAACTCTGCTCTCCCAGCAAGGCATGAGCTTTATTGAAAAGCTAGTAATAGAGTAAAAAATCTCCTTCAGTTCTTATTTTAGGACTGATCTGATGTTATTAATATGGACAATGAACAAAAATAAGAGTAAGAAATATGTTAATCTGAAATTAAAACATTTTTGTTAAAAACAAACAAGCAAAATCCTCCAAAACCAAAGCAAACTTGAAGCAAACACCTCCCCTCCCTAAACACACACTCATATCCTAGCACAGGAAATGCCAGAAATCCCAAAGTAGGTACAGAGCAACTCATCTGTTTACATAAAATTTGCATTGCCTGACCCAAAAGAATAAATGGCAAGTTTAACCTGCTCTTTTATAGAGCATGTTGAAAACAGATGCGCTAATTTAATTGTGTGATGCTGCAACCTTAAAATGGTGTTTGTGCTTTTTGTACGTACTACATTGTAATGATTTAAGTCAAATTTTCTCAGTTTACTTTTTTTTTTTTTTATTTGGTTATTGCAAGATCAAAAGGCAGGGCTTTGCTCTTATGAATTTTGTTGATACTATTACCCTGGAAGGGATCAAGGATGTAGACCGGAGTGCTAGCAGCCAACTGTCGACACCCATACACTGTTAGCATGATCTCTGGCAGAAGTTTGGGGCAAAGCTGATATAGCAAAGAAAATTCTGATAAAAATTTGGTGCAACAGCTGTTTTTATTTGTACATCAAAGGTATAGAAACGGGCCAGAACACTCCAGTGAACACTCAAGTGTCCACTGTATGTACTCCTGAGTCACGTAAGGATAGTTTATGAATTCTAGGAATACATTCACCGCTAAGTCTTCATTCAGCCTTTCACTTGAATTCCTATCAGAAAATATGTCTACAAATTTGGCAAACTTTGAGTAAAGCCAGAATAGCTGCCGTCACTATATTATTTTTGCCAATTTACTTTGCAGTCCCTTAGCTATTATTCAAGAGAAGATGGACAATAAAGTTTTCAGATAGGTTTTAGGTATAGTGCAACTATCACTGTGAATATTAAGTCTTCACTGCAGGTGAAGTATGATGCTTTTGTATCGCGTGACAGCAAGTATTAACTGGTACTCCTACAGTTGTCTACAATGTTGCTCTTTTTCCTTGTTTTACAGAAAACTAGAATAGCTATTACATAAATTCCAGCTGATCAATTAGAAGTGGCTAAATACGTGGAAGAAATATATAAAAATATTTAATGCTCTTTGACTCTCAATCTATAAAGTACATTTTACAACTGATCTATTAATGTGATTGATGAAAATAACATGCACAAAAACCTGCATTTCTTTTTCACAGGAAAAGGCAGGCTGAAATACCTATACCAATAATTAGGGAGCAAAAAAACCCTGAATCACACTCCTTTACTCTTTTAGTCATCACACCTTTGTACTGCTTGGAAGAAAATCTTGCTTTAGGAATATAAGGAACTGTCTTATATATGTATCTTAATTCTTTTCTCAAGAAAAGGTCCCAAAGCACTGTTTCTCCAAGACAGATAGTTCTATGAATTACAATATAATGAACACAGAAGCAAATTACTTCTGAAATTCAGCCTCCAAATTCTTCACATGGTAATCAAGTATGGAAAAGTAAAGGAATAATGAACTGTATCTCAGAGAACTAAAGAGATTATTTACCTCCAAAATGTGTTCTCCCTGCTGTTCTCGATCTAGTTTTCTAGATGTAGTTGTAATTAGACCTGTAAACACAAAAGAATAATTTAGTTCATTCAAAAAAATAACTGGAATGAAGATTAGGCTAAGCCAGTAATCACTGATATATCCCATCTCAACTTCTTAGGTGGTCTCAACTATTTTTACAGAACACAAGCTTTCATCAGGAACATTAGCTTTCAGGTGGTGGTGGTGGTGGTGTTGCCAGTCCCTGTGGGTTGTGAAAATATTCTTTGCAATCTGAAAGCTAAGTCTTCACTAAGCTACAGCCTTTAAAGACAGAGACAGTTCTATTTTCCAGTGTATCTGTGCATATCTCATGTTTCTGACAGGTGTAACATATGTAATCGTATCACATTAAGTCTTATTTGCATAATATCCTCACTCTTTTACAAAGGGTGTTCATTTTTCTTATTCAAAAGCTGTTCATAGATACTACCTGAATATTTACCCATCACCTTAGGAGAACCACCTGCTTGCATTTTTTGTGATATTACCAGGAAAATAAAAAAGGAGGAACTGAAGAGATATATTAAAGATGGGAAGCAGAACAACCCGTGTGTGTGTGTGTTGGCTTGATGTGGCAGTGAGGAGTCAAACAGTGCTGCTGTTGGCAATAGCAGAGAACAAGGAGGAGTTTTGTAAGACACAATTTCGCTGTATGAGTTTGATACAAGTTTGATGGAAGATGAGGAAGGCATGGTGAGCTCTGCTGCAGACAAGGCAACAAAATCAGCAAAGGGCTCTTAGCCAAATTAATTCCCCCAGCAGCAGGTTCACAATTTTAGCTATAGATTTTTGTGAAAAGTAAATTTAGCCAATTATTACTGAATGACCTGTCCACACCATGGATTAACTGTGCTAAGGAGGCTCCATGAAAAGCCAGGTTGGGTCCAGCAGGATTTACCAGCTCGAGCTCGGTGCCCTGTGAACACCGGGATCGTACCTGCGAGGCCAATCCGTATCTGCAAATGGTGCAAGGGCTTTTACGAGCACAAATCAAGTAACACCACTGTCTGGATCCATTCCCCAGCACAGAAACGCTGCTTAGCTCAGGTGCAGCACTAGCTCTGCCCGACTCAAGCCACCACTGCCCAAAACATCCCATGTTCTCTACTGGGGAAATCTATCATATACTAGAGATGGAGGATGGAGTTGTGACTGATGCCCTGCACTGTCACAAGGCTTTTTGTCTAATTACCAACATGTTTTTTACAGAGACAGGAAAGCACTGCCATCTTGCTCCTTAATTGCCAAACTGAAATATGGAGAAGAAATTACATGACTAAAGGCAATTAAAATCCAATCTGCATTCTCCATTTTCCTTTTTCTAACCACAGTGCAGGCCGTTTCTCTATTAATATAGGAACTCTTATATTTAAAATACAAATCCCTGTATCAACTTTTGATCTGCTACAGCAATAAAAAAGGCTTCATTTTTGTTTTACAGTTGACAACAGTAAAGCTCTTAAGTAGGAAAAGAAACATCAATAAAGATGTTTTCACTCTACAGAGAAACACCACAGAAACAGAATCGTAGCCCATCAGGGCACAACTACCCAGTACTTTTGTTGCAAGAGAATTGCAGCCTACATACGCCAACAAAATGGACAGCTGCTGCTAAACAATACAGCAAAACCTATACTGAGAGCAGTATTTTATCTGTCAAGTGTTCCTGCAACTGTTCTTCAAAAAATACATATTATAAAGCACGGCTGTTTCAGTTATGGTAAAAACTGCCCTTGTTTTGCCAGCAATTTGGTTTACCTGGAATCAAGTCCATTATATTCTAGACATAAAGCTCAATCATCTTGTTTTCCAGATGCCTCAGCTGCTTCCATGGAGCAGGGGGAGTTGCAGGTGACTTGAGGGAGCAGTCGCTCTCCTGCCACAGAGGCGAGGCAGAGCAAGAGGTTTCAGTACAGCCACCAAAGGAGCTGGCAGTTCAACAGCTGTGTGAGGATGCAGAGGATCTCAAAAATATATAATTGAATAAGTGAGTGAATAAATCAGTGAGGGCCTCTCCATGCCTGCACTTCTCTGCACACTCTTCCAGGACTCAGCATAAGGTGAGAATTCACCTCCCAGGGCAGCAGTGTGCAGGACAGCAGCTAACTCAGGGAGCAGAAAGACCTTCCACACCTTTCAACAGCTTCCCATCCACTTTTCCCCCTCCAGAGATTGCCACAGAGACCAGAACTGCTGTTAATAAGTGCCAGCTAGTATTTAGAAAGAAATAAGGCCTTTCTGTGAGTATGCCAGCCAGGCTTCCACTTCTACTGCATACTCCAGTTTATTGAAAAATCTAATTTCCTTTATCTTTTTTTTTTTAAATTTAATTGGTTGATATAACTCAGGAACAGGTAAACTGATAAATACCAGTATGGATAAAATAAACGGGCTTTAGTTTGTTAACATTTCCAACTCTTTTAACCAGGCATGCCACACAGTTCTGTTAAAACACTTCAGGCTATTAACAGACGGGTTTAGTCTTCACCATATACATCCTGTAAATTCAGCAGAAACTAGTGCCAACAAAGGAAATGTAACACTTCTGGATTTAGAATCACATACACATGCATGACATTCTTCCTACTTAACCCTTTGCTGCTGGCCACTCTGCTAAGTGAAAATCCAGCTCAACTGAAGATGATTCCATTAGTGGTATACAGCAATACAGCAGCTGATTTCCTCTGCTGCCACTTGCCTCAGAATTTTCACAACCGGAATTAACCCACAAGACAAATAAAAGATAAATTTTACTTCATCTCTGAAAAAAAGTTTGTAACAGGATCTGGTTTGAAATCCTTTTTCCATGGTGCAGAGAATCTGTTCATTGTGGAACAAGAAAAATGAGTGCAGGGGGACAGATCCCTGTGACAAAGCATTCATTTTCTCAGCAAAACTGACTCATACTTTGCAGTCTTATTTTACCCCTTTCCTTCTACTCTGCTTGCCACAACACCCCCAACCCCAGCAAAACAGGGACCTTCACTAATTTAAAGGACTGCCCATTATTCCATCTGGGAAGAGCTGCACACTGTAACCAAGTGGCAAGACTGGTCAGTTATCCTTGGGAAAACACAGCTTTATAAGAAAGATTTCTAAGCTAATGAAGAACAAATGTTATCTCTAGCAACCTAGTGCAAGCTTTTCATTCAGTAATGTTTCAAAATTCACTTCATGAGTAATATTTTCATAGCAGCAGCTGATACACATACATCTTTGGATGAACCACAGCTGCTCTGCTTCACTCACAGGAGAGGTACTAYAACAAACTCACCCTAACTCTAAACATCCCTATCTTAAAAGGCCAACAACAAGAACAAAAGTAGAATGCAGCAAATACATCTTGTTGCTCTCCCTTCCTTCCCTCTTTGTGTCTACACTACGGGGTATCTACTCTCTGTTTGATGTTGACTGTGAAATCAAAACAGTTACATCCACTTCCAAAGAGAATTCACTTCTGATTTGTATTTTAAACAGCAATAAAATGTAAGCACAGTAAGATATGCAACTATAGCATTCAATTATGTAAATATAAATAATCCTTTTATATCTTACATCTGAAACAAAAAATAGCACGAGAGCTGACATTAGCAGGGATTTATTTTAGTCCCCTATAAGCTTTCATCTCGGCGCCTATCACGTTACCAACTATAGCTCACTCTTTGTATCTGAAAAACTGCACATTATCAACACTCTCCATTGAGTGATGAAATAACGATTTTTTTTAAGTTAATCATTATATAAGTACTAGCATATTTTATTAATATTTGTGCTATGTTACTTGATATCTTTATGGCATGGATGATCTCAGTACAGAAAAAAGTGGCAAAACCCAAAAGGCCATCTCTGCAGCCGGGGGAGGAAGGTTCCAGATTTACTGCCTCGCTGCTTAGAGATCAGACTCTCTCTCCTCTCTGCACAGGCCTACGGCTATATACATTTGTGTACGATGTTTTCATTAGTGCATATATTGTCTTTTTGTGTGTGCATGCTGATATGTGTTCACAGACAGGCACACACTTTCCAAGTGCATACTCAGCTTTGCATAATGAAGTGTCTGGGGCTTTTTTTTTGGCTCCCAAAAGAAAACAAATTTGTAATCAGTAAAGATCCAAGGGCCAAAACATGTGCCAAGTCCACTAGCTGCCTCCAGTGAGTATGGACTGATATGCATGAATTGAATATAGAATAACATTACTTGAATTATAGTGTATGAAAATAAACACAGTTTCTTTGATCTTTGAGAGTGTTGGTACTGAAGTCCTATGAATATGAAAAGCAGTTACAACATTCTTATCACTAACTTGAATAGGTGCAGACATTACATTTTAATATGATGAGGGAGGTCCCACTTTTAGAGGTACATTTTGTTGATGAGATTTTTGTCTTTGTTCAACGCAAACCATAAGCAGTCAGCAGCAGCAATGACTCCTCTTGTGTTGGCCCAACTCCATCAGTTTAAGGCCCTAGATCAGTCAAATAATAATTACAAAAAATATATAAGTAAAGTCCCATTCCACTGGTTCCACCTCCAAAATGGTGAATTGCTGAGAAATATTAAAAAAAAGAGCGGGGAGGCTTTTTTTTTTTATGATGTCCTAATACTTAACCTCTCATGCTGATTTATATAAGCATGGATTTTAAATTCACACATAGTTGTAACAATAATCCAGTTTGACCACCGTGTAATACAGTCTAAACCATAGCATGAATTACAGCATATTTTCTATAATTCAAAGATCCATTATGGCTCATCAGGTAACAAAGAAGCCATCATACCTACAGGTAAAATTTCCAACTAATTATCCTCATTTACGAAATCGTGTATTACAGCCTGTTCAAGGCAACTTTTCCTTCTGGACAAGGGAGGTCTGCTTGCTTTTGTCTGATAGACTGAGAAGTCCACTATAATCTCTAAATCTCTAAAAGATGTTAAGTACTGGAATATAGTCATTCCCGAGTCATTCCTCTTTTATAACTAACAAAACTCCTCAAGTCTTGTCAGGAAGATCTTTTA